TACTCTGCCCTTCGCTGCCTTGCTGTGGCATCGGCGGACGTCTATCTGGAGAACACCGGAGTAAACTGCAGTCGGTTCGTGCTCCGTGCGTTTTTGAACGATATCAGAAAAGGTACGCACAGCAAACGTACTTTTACGTTTATTTGTTTTAATCGACGTTCTAATTAATTGTTGTTATGAGTGTACTTTTTTCGATTACTTATATTTATATACTGGAAACTTTTTTTTATTCACCAAAGTCTCAACCGAGGCTCGACATGTTCAGAACCAAAGGAAGAATATCGAGCCAAACCTAATTTATTATTCAATTATTACCTTACTGTTACAACTATGTTTTGCTCTTGTCTGGCAATATGGGCCGCTATAGTAAGATGGGCATAAATCAATTCTTATCCTAGTTTTGGCTAGGTGTATGACGACTTCTACTGCTTCGCGATTTCGACTATGGAGAATTTTAGTAGATCGGTCCGATGACTCCGAGAAGGATACCCGATACTCCGCCGCCGCCTTTTCGCATTCATCATATTGTTATCGGGGGTATCGAAGGTATCGGAGCAATCTACTTAAATTCCCGAATATCAGGCGCTGGCTACAACGAAGAAGCTTTGATCTACCCCAAGGTAAATGGTACTTTCATTGCTTCGCTGCAAAAGCCCAATGCAGAGCATAAAACATTCGTGAGGAACAATAGGGCACTCCCATCCAGCGCCTCAATTCAAAGGCTGTTCAGCGTAGCAGTATACTGTAACGTTTCGGCCGGGATGGCCGGAGTGACGATACCTTCGTTCTGGCAGGCGACTTTATTTCAGTCGAATCTCACGCAAAAAGCGCTCCCACGGCCGGTGCAGTGGCATTTTATCGAGCTCGCACCGAAAACTGGGCATGCGCCCGTCCCACTTATCATGCCGATAAGATACATTACAACTTCTACCCCCTTCGAGGGCAGAGCCTCGGAATAATGGCAACCAACAAACAGTTTTTGCAATGACTGCGGTGTCCCAGGTTTGAAGCGTTCATGAAGGGTGCTGCACGAGCCGTCAGCGGCACACTTCAGCACAGGCGACTCCTGGAACCTTGACCCACTTGTCCGGGGCAGGCGGCAAATCATCGAAGCCAAGGGACTTTTCTGCAGGGAAGGTTGTTGGAAAAACCGCAAGGTGCAGAAACTGTAGACGACCTGGACCCAGTTGCTCCTTCTGACATTGGTCCACGGGTCCAGGGCAGTCTTCAGTTAGAGTCCAAGCCAAGGGAAAGCAGTTCAGGGGGAAGATGACAGTAGAGCCACCGGGCGCTCCTAAAGCAGAGGTCGTCGACTGCGAGTAAGCTAGACAGTTGAACGAACGACAAACAGAAAACCCGGGCGACGGCCAGGAGACGCCAAATCGAGATTCCAAGTTGTCGATTGAAAAGACACTACACCAACCACGATACCGCACTGCCACATTTTATTTAGTTTCCCGGCTTGGGGTTACCCCGTCCCGAAGGTGTGTTAGTCTACCCCCCAAAAGTGTTTATTTACAATTCTTATTTACAAGATTAAAAGTCAAGTGACAAACTTATTTACAGAAGAAGAAAAGAAATGAAATGTATTTAGACCGCTCTGCTCAAACTGTCAGCGTTTGAGTGGAGCTTTCCTTTCTTGTGTTTCACTTGAAAAGAATAGGATTGTAATGTCAGGCTCCAACTCAAGAGTCTACCAGTCTTGGGAGCCACCTGACTCAGCCAAGTTTATGATCGGTGACAAAAACAAATTCTGCACCGTCAAGGTAACATTTCAGCTTCTCTACAGCCCAGACCATACAGGCGCAATCTTTCACTACCGCGCTGTATGTCTGTTCCCGTGTCGTCAACTTCCGGCTAGCGAACAGAATTGGGTGTTCGTCCCCCTTGCTATCAATTTGGCTCAGCACGACGCCCAACCCCCTTTCACTTGCATCGCACTGTACCAAGAAAGATCTCGAAAAGTCGGGACTGGCCAGCACAGGAGGGCTAATTAACGCCTTTCTCAATTTCTCAAAGGCTTGGCGCCGTATCTCGTCCCATACAATCCGGACAGGCTCTTTCTCTTTGAGAGCATCTGTTAACGGACTATAGTCGGTTACAAGTCAAGAAGGTAGGAGACGCTCCTCCCACAAGCGTGATGCGCCCGTTTCAAATCTCTCCGCAGTCGAAAGAAGAGTTCACTGGAAACGCTCCTTGTTCCACTTCAATGGATTCCCACTTGTCTCCGATCCCACTTTTTAAGGAAGCGACCTTTGTATTCATCGGAGAGGGAACCGAGCCCCTGAAAGCAGCCTTTGTATCCATCGGGGGGGGGGGGGGGGGGGGGAAGCTAATCCCTGAAAGTCGTATTTGTTTCCGTCGGTGGGGGAGAACTCTAATCTCCCTCTCGTGGCTTCCACAATGCTAAGCCAAAGTCGAAAGATAAAGCAAATATGTACAGAAAGGCAGGACCCTCCTCGCGCGTTGTCCGCGACGTCACGGAAACGATGGGACGCTATTGGATGCAAAGGTGGCGGAGGGATATCTGATTCCCTTTGAGGGGCATTTGCCGCTACCTTCTTAACTTGTAACTGACTATAGCTAACTCGGAAAATTGAGGGATGTAATGCTGATAGTAATTTACTAAACCAATGAAAGACATTAAGTCTTTCTTTGTGTCCGGTAAAGGAAACTCATGGATAGCCAAGAGTTTCAGCTCTTGCGGACGCCTCTTTCCTTGACCAACCACGTGGCCTAAGTAGCTCACCCAAGCTCACCTCGGAACGCACCAACTTGCACTTTGACGCCTTCACTGTCAAACCCGCGCTTCGCAATCGAGATAAGAAGCCGCGCAAATGCTGTTTATGCTCTTCCCAAGTGTTTGAAAAAACTGCAAGGTCATCAAGGTACGGTAGCGCGAACGTTTTTGCCCCCGAAAGCACCTTGTTCATAAGACGGGAAAAAACGAACGGAGCGTTTTTTAAACCGAAGCTAAGCACAAGCGGCCTGTATGTTTCGAACGGGGTTACAAATGCAGCGATGTCACTAGCCCTGTTTGTTAGCGGAACCTGACAAGGTCAAAAGTAGAAATTTACTTTGCCGAGCCGACTCTCTCAATGCAGGCTTCCATGTTCGGAATAGGGAACACCTTAGTGACCGTTACGGAATTTAGCTTTCTGTAGTCAACACACGGTCTAGGATCCTTCCCCGGGCACTCCACAAGAATCATAGGCGAGGCGTAATCAGGCTAACACAGCTCAACCAGTCCAAGATCTAGCAGTTGCTTCACTGCCTCCCTCATGAGACGTTCTTGTCGAGGCGAGAAACGATACGGCTTACCCGTGGCCGGCAACTCTGAACAGAGTTCTATATCGTAGGTGATCAAATCAGTCCTACCAGGCTTAGTAGAAAATAGATCTGAGTAATCAGAGATAATTTTCTCGAAGTCGACGAATTGCTGTTTCGTTATCTGCGCCTGAATAACCGTAATATCCAAAATTTCTTTTACTCTGAAATCATCACGCAAAGTCACCGGAACAGGAACTTTTGGCGCAACTTCTTCGGGAGCGTTTAGTAGGGTGTCCGCGACATGCACTCGTTCGATGTAAGGTTTCATCAGGTTGCAATGGAAGATTCGCACTTCTTTACGGCGACCCGGTAGTCAAACCACGTAGTCAGTGTCTGAAAATTTTTGTTCTACCCTAGCGCGTCCTTCCCATTGAAGTTCCAATTTATTTGCTTTCGCCGAACGTAAAAGCAAAACCTTGTCGCCCTGATCGAACGAACGCATGCGACTGTTTTTGTCGTAGTACTTTTTTGCCCGTGCTTGCGCCTCCATCATGTTAGGCTTCACTAATTCTTGCGTGTTGTAGAGGTGGTTCAGGAGCGTTAGAATGTACTCTACCACCGTGGGATTTTCGGAGTCCCCCTCCCACCTTTCTCTGAGTAGGCGCAACGGTGAACGCAATGCACGGCGGTACACCAATTCCGCCGGCGAAAACCCGGTTGATTCGTGAACGACGGAACGAAGGGCGAATAGCATGGCAGGCACTGCCGCGTCCCACTCTTTTCCATGCTCGTGGCATAAGGCCCGCAGAAATCGCTTCATAACAGAATGCACACGTTCCACGCTGTTACTCTGAGGGTGGCTGACGGAACTGTGGCTAATTTTTATGCCACATTTTTCAAAAAAGCCAGAGGTTAGTGCACTCGTAAAAACGCTTCCCAAGTCGCACTGAATTTCACTGGGAAAACCAACCCTCGAGAAAACAGTGAGTAACGCATCCACGACTTCCGTAGAAGTCTGCTCTCGTAATGGCACCGGCTCCGGGAACTTACTTGCTGGACAAAGAAACGTAAGCAAGTATCGGTAGCCTAATCTGGTTACCGGAAGAGGTCCCACTACATCAATTACTTGCCTTTTGAAAGGCTCAGTTATAATAGGGACACAGGTTAAAGGGGCCCTGACCTTCTCGTTTGGTCTTCCAGTTCGCTGACAAACGTCGCACGAACGGACGAACTGCTCAGCTTCTTTGAAACATCCGGGCCAATAGTACTCAGCTAAAAGCCGCGCTTTAGTTTTCTTGATTCCTAGGTGACAGGACCAGCCTTTAGCGTGAGCAAGCTCCAAGAGTTGAGCCCTGTAGTTAACTGGGACGACAAGGTGGTCGTACTCTCGCCCATTCTTGGCAGTGTAACTGCGATAGAGGACCCCATTGTTAAGAAAGAACGACACTTTCTTTGATGGCATTTATATCCTCTTTCTGCTTTCTTACAGCGAGTCATCCGCAGCTTTCTCCGATATCAAGGTTAATGTGTCCACCCTTGACAGCTCTTCGAAATTAACGCTTTCTGGGGAAACAAGACTAGGTTCGGCGATCACAGGTTCGCCTTCGACTTCGGCCAGTACAGGCTCTGGAACGGCTGACGTGTTAATCCTCGCCATGGAGCGGGTCACTACAAGTACCGGATTCATAGCTAACTCTTTTCCAGAGTCACTCAAACTCTTTGCCGTTTTGTTAGAAAGAATGTAAGGGCACGTAGGGAAGTACGACATCAGAAACCTCGGCGGTCGTTTCTATTTCCTCAAACGGACCCTTCACCTTGACTTTTCCAACTGGAAGACTGCTAGCCTTACTCTCAAGTGCCTGGCAAATCCAAACGCAGTCGCCCGTTAAGTCACTTGGCTCGACCAGTGAGGAATGAACTAGATCGTGAGTGGCACCAGTGTCCCGCAAAACTTTACAGGACTGGCCGTTCACCATCATGTCATACAGATAGGGTTTTAGAAGCTCGTCTTCTGCTCCCAGTGCCAAATTTATTCTCGAAACCTTCGGAACACGGCATCCCACAGCAAGATGCCCAGGCTGATTGCATCGGTAACACACAATGGGCTTTCGTGCTTCGAAGGCCTTGGTTGATTTCTTATCTGGGCTTTTCTTTTCGATCTCGTCTTGCGCTGCCTTTCCGCCTACGTCGGGCTTTGTAGCTTTGTTGTGGTCGACCGAGCGATAAGCTGAACGATTTTTATTACGGCTAAATGACTTGCTTTCTGCAGCTGCATTTTCGTGCCTGGAGTAGTATTCGTCAGCATAATCAGCGGCTCTTTGTACGGAGACAACGTCTGGTCTGTCCTGAATCCACAATTTCATTCCACTCGGAATGGAATTAAAAAACTGCTCGAGACCAATATGCTCCAGAATCTTTTCGCGGTCCTCGTACGCGTTAACCCCACGAAACAAGTTCTCAACGAAACCGTGCAAACGGTACGCAAATTCACTGTAACTTTCCTCGGGACGCTTCGTAGCTTCTCGGAACTTTACTCGGAACGCCTCCGGGGAAAGCCTGAACTTTCTCAGGCGGCTTTCTTTTACCTTGAAGTAATACTGCGCACTGTCTGGGTCCAGTCGGGCCACAACGTCTGCCGCCTCTCCGGGCAAAACACTGAGAAGTCGCTGTGCCCAGTCCGAATCCGCCAACCCCAGCTTGGTACAAGTGCGTTCAAAATTAATGAGGAATAAACCCAGGTCACCACCGATACGAAAAGGCAGCAAAAAAGCTCTGATATCTAAAGTTTCCACTTCTCTGGTCTTACCAGACGACTTTTGCAATTTGGCCTCCATCATCCGGAGTTCCGCTTTCTCACGTCTTTGCTTCCTCTGGACCTCATCCCAACATTCTTTCATTTCGTCGAGGTCGGCCCCGGAAGTCTTAATAGCTTTGATTACTTCCGCTTTTCTCATGGACTTCATTACCGTTACACCCGGCTCTTCCGCTAGGTTTAGTAATCGAGGCTTCGTAATCTTATCGAAGTCCATGGCACCTTTGCTTGAGAAACAAAGAAAAATAGAGCAGTGCGGTATTTTGCTTCTCCGGAATCCGGTCAAAACCTTACAAAGTTACACTCGAAAACTCGGAAAAACGACCAGCACTCACCGACCGAAACCGCAGGCCCCCGGCGTCGCTCGTCCCACCGCTGCCACCAGCTGTAACGTTTCGGCCGGGATGGCCGGAGTGACGATACCTTCATTCTGGCAGGCGACTTTATTTCAGTCCCATCTCAAGCAAAAAGCGCTCCCACGCGCCGGTGCAGTGGCATTTTATCGAGTTCGCATCGAAAACTGGGCATGCGCCCCGTCCCGCTTATCATGCCTATAATATACGTTACAATACATACTGAGTAAGAAATAACGACAAAATGTCTGACGAGACTTTCGAGAGTACTTTCGAAATACTCAGGGTCATTAAATGGAACGGGTTGCAACAATAAGACCTTGAATAACCGGCTCCCCTTTGTTTCTTAACTGAAGACAATATTGTTGAAAATAACGCCATAAAAATAACGGATTACTTTTTGGGGTAACGGTCACTTACTTTTATAGGAGGGTAATTGTAATTGTAATAAATTACAATTTAGCCTCGAGTAATTGTAAATGTAAATCCTTAGTATCTTTCAGTAACGTGTACAAGTCTGGTTGCAGGTGTAAGGGCCGGTTGCACCAACGTCGTTTAGCGCAAAGCGGAGCTTAGGCGAGAACCTAAGCTTAGTTTCGGTTTCGTTCGGTTGCACCAAACTCGCTTATCGCTAAATCTAGCACTAAACTACGCTTAACTTAAGCGCTCAACATTGGGCGCTTTGCTTCTGGTTGTTTCTTAATCCTGGATTAAAAACATGGCGGCTGGTTTGTCACGGTCGACGCGGTGGACGAAATTGGTTGTGCAAAGTGTTTTAGGCTACATCAGCGTGAAAGTTTCGACAAAATGACTTTCGATTGTGACAAGGATGCAAAATATTGTCGCGTGAAGTGTTGATCGACCCCTGTTTTCAAGTTGGCTCTCCACTTTCAGGGCGTGTTAGCCCTAACCGAGAAACGTACGGAGCTGTGGGGCTCACGTCTGTATTCCCGTTGGTTCTTCTGTCAACGAGCTTATTCGTATGTACTTACTAATTTTCGCATAGCTGTAACGTATTGTTATTTACCACCTTGTTTATCTACACTTGCAGCGCGTATCCTTCAATCTGATCAGCGCGTTGAATAGTGGCAGTACATGATCTCGGCGATCAGCTGATTGTCGACACCTCTGCCGTTTGCTTTAGATTGCGGCGCTTTTAAGCAATAAAACAGCGAAAATTCAATTTCTTTCGTTTTCTGAGTTTTGAGACAATCTTCAGTGAATTTTCCTTATCTCGCGAGTAGAATCTTGGCTTCAGAAAACTGTATCGTTCCATAACTGTAACTTTTTTGGTGATCGCATTTTTTTTTTTTTATATACTTTGCTTTATATCTTTTTTTCGTTTCCCGAGAACGAGATACTGTTGTTTCCGAGTTGTGCTCTGTGATGGTGCTTTCCCTTTACTTTTGTCGTTTGTTGTCATTGTGACGATGGTTGAGACTATATACCGGAACACGTTTTCAATAAAATTCAGTTAAAAGTTGCGCCTTGTTGTGTCCTCCGTAACTTTTTTGGTGATCGCGATTTTTTAGCAATATTTTGCTTTATATCTTTCATTCGTGGCGACGACAAATCGTAACGACTACTATGTTAGATTCGTGCATTGCTGTATCGGGGCAGGCTGGGGCAGGTGATGCGAAGAGACGACCGTTCTTATCGGCACGATGTGATGTACTAGTGGGAGTTCTTTTTTTTTTTTCTTTTTTTTTCTGAACTCGACAGTGTGAAACTAAAGTCCGTTTGAGGCTGCAGCGGATGTTCAACGACGGTACAGTGCAGTTCTGTCACCTTGCTGATAGCAACGAGTACCGTCGATGCAAGGTCTCGTGACCTGACCTCTCGACGCCTTCTATTCGACGATTTCCGGGCATTTTCGCAGCTGCCGTGGCGAGTTCGTCACTGTTTTGAACCTCATCGGTCTCAGGCTTGACTTGGTTTTAGTAGTCATCTTACCTGCCTACTTATATCCATGATGTTTTGTCTTCAGCGATGTAGCGAGTAGAGTGTCCTTCTCGCGTTCGGTGAGATTTGGGGCCCCCGATGGCTCCTTCGCCTCAAAATGTGAGCACGAAAACTACTACCACTGTCAAAATATCCTGTTATCAACCGATATTAAACACACAATCACAGATGTAAAAAGCATTCATGTTTATTTAAAGCTTTGACTTGTGTTATTGAAAGTTAAGCGAAAAAATGATTGAATTTAGAGACCTTTAATTTGTTACTCACCGAAGAAATACAGCGAAAAGCAGACGCCGACGACAACTACTACGGCAGTTTTTTTTTGTTTTTTTTTTTTGTTTACATCACGTGATTCCTCTCCGCCAATCGCATTCGTCGCTCTGAGCGTTCCCTAGTTTGCTCTGTTCGTCGCTAGATTCCCTACGCAAATCCAGCGTTTAGCTAGGGGCGCGTCTGTAAAGCCGGCTTAACGTTGGTGCAACCGGAATTTAAACCCGTACTTACCTAAGCTCGGTTTAGGGCGCTAAGCCGGCTTAGGAAAGTGCCGCTTTGGGTTAAGGTAAGCGGCGTTGGTGCAACCGGCCCTAAGTACGCGCGGCGCAGAGCGGTCTTTCCGGTCGCTCCGATTGCAACGGACGCAGTCGTAGGTAACGCGCTCGTTGCAAATGTCTGAACCAGCCTTCCCCGTTCTCCCGAGGTGAAAGTCAACGTGGCGACATCGTTTTACATCACGTACCAGAGGTGCGCTGCTAAGTCAAACGTTGGTTTGGTTACGACTTGCCCCAACCGCAAATCGAAAAGCGCCCGAAAAGGTCTGCGTTTCGTCGTCCTCGGAACCCGAACACGACTCCGAAGCGCTGCTATCGTCCACATCGCACGTCGGAGTGGCGGCTTAGGAAATCATGCCCAGGTCGGCTGTCCGCCGAATAATGTCAACCTCTGACGGTGTCAGGTCCTCGAGCGTGGAGAACTCCGCCATGAACGAAGCTCGAATGACAAAAAAGTTCGGCCGGTGCGACTATCTCGGGATCACTGCGCGACGGAACGCCGTCCAACGACATTGGCCAGAGATCGTTTTGATATGCGTGCGATGACCAATGAGAGTGGTTTCGTTTTCGGATGGATCCGAGGTTTGGCGGCCTTCAATTACATTTTTATTAAAGAAATAATCACCGTATGACTATATTTTTTTGTTTGTTATCGATATTTAGGGCGTCTAAATTCAGTTGTCATCATCAAAACACGAACTCAAAAACCACTTGAGTGCCCCTTTAAGAGGGAAGAAAGAAACGAGGGGACGACGATGATGGGGCATGCGCGGCTCGTAGCCGCACGCCGAACTATTTTTCTTTTTCCAGACGCCACAGCACGCGCCTTCATGTGACCTCCAAAACCGACCGTGACTTCCCACAGTGCTTGGCTCCAGGATGCCACCATTGCGATACTCTGCTACGCAAGCGTAGCATATACAGTTACTCGGGTCAAATCCATGGAGCTACGGATTGTAAGACCAAGTCCAGCATTCTAAGAAAAAAAAAATATATTGCATACTGCAAAGCAAAAAAAAAAAAATATGTATATATTGTGGGATTCGCCCTTTTGGTGAGGGGTTACCACTTAGAAACACAAAGAGTTCCTCGGGTTCGGATAAAGACGTGTTTATTGACTGCAATGTCAGCACGCTTCGCTCTTAGACAATAAAAAGTCTGGGCGCTGGCTCTATTACCAGTATCACCCGGTCGGTTTCCCGCGCTGCCGCATTAGACAGATTCACGGGAAGTCGGAGGCCCACAAAGAAAAACCGAGCACCGTAAAGCCAGGGCCTCCGCCGACGAGAGCCCCTGGCCCACCTTCGGGGCCAGCTTATGTAGCCTCGGAGAATGGACACGCCGGGGGAGGCCACTAGCAGTCGCGTCCATTATAACTCTCAAGGGTGTGCCGAAGGCGCGTTCACCCAAATGGGCAAGGGAGAGCCGGCCCCTTCGGGGAATTCGGCCTCGTGGTTCCTTGTATCCGGGAGGCCGACGCCATTGGTGACGACGACTCCCACGGCCTGCTTGAAGCTAGGCCTGGATGGGGATAGAGGGAACCCAATGGTTCCCACACTCCCCCTTCTCAAGGCTAAGGTAGGCCTAAAAATAAAATGGCCTACCGGCTCTCAAAAACAAAATAAAAAAATGAAACGCTAGAGCGAAAGAGCATGCCGCGAAGAAAAGCAAATAAATAAAAAAACGATCAGCGCGGTACATGCTGAAAACTCTAGCTCGCTGCTTGACAGTGGACCCCGGGTGCAGCCGAACTCTGCAGCCCACGCTTCTTGGCAGGCTTACCGGGAGTAGCGTTGCAATGTCCGTGTAGTGGCCTGGCTTGTGCAGGAAGGACGGCCCGGACACTCCATGACGAAATGTTCGAAGAATCACAGAAAGTACGGTGGCTGGGCGTCTCTCCTGGGGGACGCACTAAGTGGCACGGGCACTGTCACTGGGTGCGTGACGGGATGCGAGCTGCTTGATGTCGGCACGGGTCCACAGCCCGGGTCCGCGACTGGATGCCACGTGTTGCTGGGCTGAGGACGAGTCCAGGCAGCGGGAGGATGGCTGCCGCCATCTTGGCCAGCAGCCGACGAGCCGGATCTGGACACGCAGGCCGGCGACACTGCGGCGACGATGACGCTCCCTGGCGTCGATGCCACCTCGATGTGGCCCCATGAGTCAGGAAACGCCGGCCACTGGAATGCGGCCTGCCTTCTGCCGCCCTCTCCCGTTTCTTTCCCCAAGAAGGAAGCTTCGGAAATTCCGAGCAAGGTGGAGCCGTCCAACTGAGGACACTCGACCAATCCCCGGGTGCTCAAGGACCCAGAGATAAAAAGAGGCAGAGACAAAAGTGTCTTTTCAGCCGTGAG